CACATAGCATAGATGTAAAGCTTGGAAGATGTTTGCAAGTAGAACACACCTGTGTTGTCTGCGCCCCAGAAACCCTCCTCATGCCCCTCTCTAGTCACAGTCCATGGCAAAACTCCACTGACTCTTACCATAGATTATGGAGTAAGGGGGATTTTTTAAATTTTTTTTGGGGGGGGGTCTTTTTGAGACATCTATAGCTCCAGCTGTCCTGGAACTTACTTATATAGACCAAGCTGGCCTTGAACTCACGAGATCTGCCTGCCTCTGCTTGGGACTAAAGGCATGTGCCACCCACGCCCAGCAGTAAGGGGAATTTTAAACATAATCTAGTGGAAAATAATAGCAACAGCAGTGAAGTAATATGAAACAGTTTATCATACTAAATAAAATTAAAGCTGTTCATTCTCCAGTGTAAAGCTCTTCAAAAAATCTTTTTGAAGAAACTTTGTGAACTTTCTGGAGCTAGAATTTGCAACAGGTAATTTACTGAACAAGTATAGTTGCTAATCTTTCCTCCTGGGATAAGTAGCAAAATCTTAGTCTTAGGTATTGAATATTTTGAAGGGTGAGGATGCAGGTACGGGCAGGTAAATATAAATTACTGAGATAAAATGATTGAACTTCATTGAAATCACTAAGAATAGTAGTTTTTTGGTAGTTGTATACCTCCAGGATCTTTCAGTCACCACCTTTGGTTTTATAGTTTGAAGAGTAGTGAATTCTAACCTATTTAACTGGCCTGTGGGTATGTTTGGTCGCAAAGTTAATTTTAATGTCTGGTGCTTAATTAAGAACAGGTCGTGGCTGGGCCTTATTTTGTTCATCTTGTGAACAGTAGGTTTGTCTTAGAGTATATACTGTGTTGGAGTTGGTAGTAAGACCAATTCAAAAGCTACAGGGCAGCATTATTCAGACATTGGAAGAATGTGCAATCTTCTGTCATTTTAAGATTTTGTTAATGTAATTTTTATCCTTTAAAATAATATACATGTATATACACACTATTATGAAAAAAATCTCACATAGAAACAAAGTAAATAGAATAATATAATAATCCCTCATTCACATTACCCCCCAAAATTCTGGTATTGTTCATCTATACCTATACCCTACTCCTTTTTTAAAAATGGATTTTTAGATAAAACTTACATATGTTGAAATGTATGATTCTTAGTAACACTTTAAAATTTTTTATCTTATGTATATGACTGTCTTGCCTGCATGTGCATAAGTGTACCCACGTGTGCAATGCCTGAAGAAGCCAGAAGAGGATGTTGGATCCCCTGGAACTGGAGTTATGGATGGTTGTTAGCTGCCATGTGGGTGCTGGGAACTGAACCTGGGTCATCTACAAGAGCAACCAGTGCCCTAAACTGCTGAGCTATCTCCAGGCCAGTTATGCATTAAAAAAATGTTTTATTTATTATTTTATGTGTATGAATGTATTGCCTGCGTGTAAGTGCATCTGTGTGATGCAGTACCTGGGAAGACAGAAGAGGTTCTTGGAGCCCCTGGAACTGGAGTTACAGATGGCTGTTAGCTACCTAATGTGGGTGCTGGGATTCAAACCCATGTTCTTTGCAAGAACAGCCAGTGCTCTTAACCATGGAGCCATTTCTTCCAGCACCTACAAATTAGAATATCTTTATCTCCCCAGAGAGTTCTTGTGTATTTATTTCTAATCATTTCCCGCTACTGTTGTGCAATTTTTTTCTGCTTTAGTTTTCTATGAGCATGCATTTTATTTTGTTTATTATTTATAGGGAAAAGTGGAATCTTTTTTACTCATAGATAAAATCCATTTAGTCACTAAAAAGGAATGGTCTGTTTCAGAATGTTATATTACTGTGGTAGGGGACACACACACACACACACGCACACACACAAACATTTTAAAAGTCAACCTTGGACTGGAGAAATGGCCTGGGTTTGGTTCCCAGCACCCACATGCAGCCTAACAGTCATCCCTAACTCCTGTTCCAGAGGCTCTAATGCTTTCTTCTGGCCTCTCTGGGCACTGCACACAGGTGGTACACTTGCATACATTTAGGCAAAATACTCATGTGCATAAAAAATAAAAATAAATAGATAAAAAAGCATAAGACATCTTAAGGAACTTATATTCTTGTCAGGAAGAAAAGTTTTAATTTAAACACAAAATGTGAAAAAATGTAAGATGGCAGAATAGATCGCCCACTGCAGTCCTAACTAACAGTGTTCATGATTTGGTCCTTGCTTGCTATTTTGGACTTCAGCCGTGCATAATTAACTTGTAGTCTTTGAGTCTTGTTTGCTGTCTGATTGTGACCTCTGTCATCCCGAGCACTTCTCCCAACTCTCTGATAGTTATTTTTTTTGAGACCTAACTCAGTAAACAACTTTGTTAGGTGTTTCCTGTCTTCCCTAACTCCAAAATGATGTATCTGCACTTTGCTTTTCTGACTAAGCATTCCTTTTCTCTAGCAGTGACTCTGTAGTTTCCTAGTGGTCTCTCTTAAATTCTGCCAACATCGGACTCCAAATTTCTGGAAGACATGGCTAAGTCATCTTTATTTTAATATTATTTTTACTCTTTTTGGTACAGGGACTAAACTTAGGCCTTTGCATGCTAGATAAGCATTTTACCCCTGGGCTAAAAAAACTTTAAGTCGTCTTGAAATCCCTCATTTGGCTATGTCATTGGATAGACAGTAAGTGTATCAGAGGGGATAAGAGATGTGGAGTTGTGGAAGAACTTTTGAGGACAATTGACAGGCATTGGAGAAGTGGAAGACTAGTACAAGCACAAAGAAAGGCCTTCATAGTGATGATTGTGTATCAGGAGTCTATAGCATGATCCCAGTATTGGGAAATCAGTAGACTAGTTTTATAATGCAGGAAAAGGGACCAGTCATATTGCTACAGTATTTTACTCTTACAAATAAGTAAACCATCAAAACAGAAGAAAGCAGTTTCCAGTCAGTGCTTGTGAAATAAAGTTCAGATTTCTCATCCTAGATTTCAGAGCTTTCTTCAATCTGGTCTCATCTTACCTGGCTAATCTTATGTGGCATTGCCTGCCAGTTGGTACTCTGTGTTCCACATAGGCCAGTTTCTGCATTGTTTTTTGGACAGTCTAGTCATTCCTGGCTTTGGAGCCTTATCCATATGACCAGTCTTAATAGAATTTCTCTATGTCTTTTGTTCCCAGTTCTTTAACATTCTTAAAGGGCTAGTGCAGGATCACCCTGACACGAAGTATCTAGCTGCTCTAGATGATCTAAGAGATGATCACTGCTTTTAACCTTGGAAAGTTGCATGGGTGCCTTGCTTGTACCTATTTATTGCTTCACTAGGTGTAATGTAGCTGGTTG